TCCACTTATGTCCTGCTTAAGAGCCTCCAAGTTGCCGACAGCAAAAGCTCTGTACTCTTTCATGATCTTAGAATTTAAGACTACTGCAAAGAATTTTATTCATTTTATATAATGGATTCTAACAACTGAAGTGAGATTGTAAGCTGAGACTTTCTAGCTCTTAGTTAATAGGTTTACATTTAATCTCTGCGTCTCTCTTAAAAGTTCCTGTTTTCTGTAGAGTTTAGATTGCAATCAAGATATTATCTGCTTAATCACACACATTATTCAATTTATTATTTTAGACCTATTGTCATGCGTTTGAATTACAGAGACATGATTGGCCTTGCTTAAATGAATCAGAAGCCTAACTCCCGTATTTTCCAGCATATAAGATGACTGGGTGTATAAGACGACCCCCGACTTTTGAGAAGATTTTCATGGTTTAGAAAGTCGTCTTATAACCTGGAAAATACGGTACATGTGATTTTTCTTATAAAAGATTTGCAAAAATCCAAGTGTGGGAGGGGAAATCTTGCTGCTTCTGGAATTTAAGTATCATGCTTAAAATTTATCACTATGGCAGGAGTGACATCTATCAAATACTGTACTGATTTTAACATTTTTGTAATAAGTGCACATAGTGCCCCTTGGAACTTTTGGGCAGCAAGATAAAAACAATAACTTTAACCCATTTGCAATATTTATGATCACACTTTCCCCTCCCTCCAACATAGCATTCTAAAGTTGGAAAGTTTGGAAAACTGTGTAGTTTTGGGCACTTTTAGTTCCAAAAGCTTAGCCAAATTAGTTATTCTTTTTTTTTTTAATAAATTTATTTACATAGACTTACATGGGAACTCAAGGATAAAAGTGAAACTAAGTACCACAAAATCTGGGAACAATTTTATGATTGGATAGACAATAAGAGGGTAGCCAAGACAAATGTATAGTGTTAGAATAAAATATAGATTATAGACAAATGTATATTTAAAAGATAAATAGATATACAGAAATAAGGGAAAAAGTGTTAATATTATATTATAAATAGTGAGCAAAGCTCAAGAACCATATGTCTATATGAGTACTAATACTACTGTAAAATGTCGGAAGATGTATGGAACCAGTGACATCATATCTATGTCCAATGTGTTTTTAATTTTGTATTATTAACAAATTAGTTATTCTTTTTCCGCAATGCATATCTGAGTAATTATTACTCTATAGATACCATTATGAGCAATCTTCTGTTCCGAGATATTGCTTCCTAAAGGCAATAATAGACACATGTTAGCAATATGATCCACATGTTAGGTTGCTCATAGGCTTGGTATAATACAGCACAGACCATTTAAAAAAGGGGTCCCCACCCTTGGCTACTTTATGACTTGTGGACTTCAATTCCCAGAATTCCTCAGCCACAAGTCATAAAGTGGCCAAGGTTGGGGACCTCTGATTTAAAAGATCCATACAGAAGTATCACATGGCATGATGATATTTTTTGTTCTGTTCACTCAGCACCTGCATGTCCCTCAACATCTGATTCCTGCAGTTCTGAATTTGATTCTCATTCACTTTCAAATGGCTATGCAAGGCCCATGGCAAGGGCAGTTCCAAAATGTTGATGACCATCTGGTTTATTTATATCAGGGATCTTCAAACTTGGCCCTTTTATGACTTGTGGACTTCAATTCCCAGAATTCCTCAGCCAGGCCCGCTGGCTGAGGAATTCTGGGAATTGAAGTCCACAAGTCATAAAGGGCCAAGTTTGAAGACCCCTGATTTATATGAATAATATGGTAGGTGTGATCCATGAAACTGGTGACAATCTAATCAACTTAGAAGGTTCGTATTAATACTGAAGTTATGCTATCATCCCATAAACTGGTGATGTATCCATAGAGTGGGAACTCAAAAAGCAGGATGAACTGAGACATCTCTTCCAATTGAAGCTCATCTGATTTCTCCAGCATTAGTTTTTGTAAAGCTGCCATAAGCAGCTTAAAAAGCATGTTCTAATGCAGTAGTTGAAAGCATCTGATGGTGTTACATCCAGTTCAAAGTCAGCAAAAGCTTCCAAAATGCTTTCATTTAATTGCTTGAAAATATTACAACATGAAAGCTTGATTTTATCAACAAAACCACAGGTGGTACCACAGCCTCTAAAAGCATTAAAAACAGTTACTGCATTTATTCTTTCTCACCCTAAAGCCTCATAAATAGGTTGAACAGGAATTTTCTGTTGATTGCTGCCAAGTGTGCAGAGGTCTGTTGATTAGTTGAAGTGCTAGTACTTTATTAGAATACATATATCCAAGCAAGAAGACAACTCAGGAAATTTCTTTTTAATACCTACTTATGTGCTCTTTAAATGGATCAGTTCATATTAAGTGCCAGTATTGTAGTGAAGTTGCTATTGATTGCTGAATTTGTGAATAATTTTATGGCCCAAATACAATACTGTAATCATTCTACTATTGCTTAGAGATTGGATAACATTTTCAGTAAAATATTCCTGATCCTATCACTATTTGAGGCAACATACAATTGGCAGAGTCCCTTGATAAGCGTTTGATATGAGCAGTATTTTTCATTGACATTGGAAAGTTGTGCCTATTGAACATGTTTTATATTTTATCACAAATTAAGGAAAGAAATTATGAAGTTTTCACAAAAATTAGGAAACAGAGATTTACTGTGATGAGAGGGATGAGATGTGAAGAGGGGGGAGCTGAGCTTAGAGTCCTTGCATAGCAGAAAGCAGTACAGGCCTTACTTCCCCCAGAGTCCCTGACCCTATTTGACCATTGTCAAGAGAATGCAGTTATTCTGGCAAGATTTTTGTAAATAGGCATTGCAACAATAAAGAAGTAACTTTGATCAATTCATGGTTTGTTGTGCCTGACACTTACCAAGGCTTTGCAACAAAGTTGTTCCTTCAAACATTGCAATCCAAATGTGTCTATATTAGCTAGTCAACTTTTCTTTGCTAGTTTACTATAGGAATGCAATCATTAAAAGAGTGCAGGGAACTAGAACTATGCTGATGGTTTATAAGTGCTAATGGCATTTTAAAATTTAAACTGCACACAAGATCATAAGAAAAAGCACACTTTTACATCAGCAGAAAACTGATGAAAAAAGATGTGCACTAAGAAAAGTATGCATGGGCATTTATGTTAGGAAAAATACACAAGATTATTTGAATATTAATTTTGTGCATTTTGTTTTCATCAGATTTTGAAATCAATGTATAACAGGGCCAACGTGAACTTATATTTGGAAAAATAACAGCCTGAGTAATGGACACATAGGGAACACTTACTAGTGTTTCATACAGCTTGATGCAGTATTATTAAGAAATCTCAGCAACTTTGAAGACTTCTCATAGTTTAGCATGTTTGCTACATACAGTGAAAAGTAATTTCTAAAATATGTATTGATATAATATAGTTACATAAGCTCTTTATTAGCCCACATGGCAAATCTAAGTTATAGATTGAGTTCTGAGTGGTAGTACTGATGAGGTGGTTTTATCTAAAATATTTTAGAAATTCTGGTTCCTCCTCCTGTTGCATATTGTATTTTTTCTACCAGTTCTTTCACTCCAAATCTAGATAAAAGTTATCAAATATATAACGTGGTTATGGTTAATTTGCTATTATACAACGGAATATTCAAGTCCTACAGCTGCAAACACAGTACTTTTAGCAGGTGAAAATGCAGATGCCAAACAATAGAGAGAATTACATTTTAGGAAATAATGCTCCAATATTTGGCTATCAATATGGAATAGCATTAGATTTTAATAATTTAATAATTATCATCTTTGAACACCCATCCCTTGAAGCAAAGTTATAAATATCTTTGGAGAAAATTCCAAGTATGCTTATAACTTTATTTTTGCTTGCAATGTCAATGTATTGACTGCTCTGCTACCCATTGGATTTATGCCCTTTGCTTAAAATCAGCCCTGGTGTTTTGGAATCATATTTTCTAACAGCCTAAGGGGAAATGGAGGAATTCTGCATTAATTAATGCTGACATACCAAGGACAAAAAGTCCTGCTTACAAGAGGAATTTGGCTTGGGAGTAGACTGGACTGTTTAAGTGACACCAAGCAATTCAAATCTAACAGAAAAGATACAGTGGCCATACAAAAATAATTGTTACTATTTCTGCCTTTCAATAATAGAAACAAAATCATACATACAGAGACACAATACGCAAACAAAAGACTGCTGCTAAGTAACAAAGAAATGTGGGGAAGACAATTCATTTAGTAAGAAAAAACTTGAGTGGAAACAACAAACATAAAAAAACAATAAAATAACCCTTAGTGCAGAACAAACGGAGCTGAAATAATTCTTTTGGCTAATTTTGGAACAGAAGGCTCAAGGCAACATATATGAAATGCATATTTATTTGTTAAGCAAAAATTGTCATCATATATCACAGAGCATTTGCTTCCACAGGAAGTGGTAATAGCTAAATAATTTAGATTTTGAAGATTAGCAGAGAAGAGTCGCAGATGAGATCAGCAGCAGAGCAGCTGAGGTACAGACAGGAAGTCCCACACTTAATTCATTCACCTTCAAAGAAAGATTGAAAAAGTCCTATCTGAATCTCAGGAAAGCAGCTATTAAATCAGTGAAAATAATACTGGGTTAGATGGACCCATCACTTCATGCCAAAGAATAATTAAGTTCTTATTTCTATGGCGAATTTGTTCTGTTTATTTGCTACAATACCTAAATTGCAAGAATGCCCACAACATGTTCTTAACATCCCAAATGTGAACACCAGTCCCCCAAAATTAGGGATCCCTGCTATTGTAAGGAGCTCACTAGAATTGCAACATTGAAAGCATTAAGAGACATGGCAGTTCCATTGAAGTACAAGTAAAGCTTTCTAGAAATATTTCCAATCATATGGCTGACCTGAATTCTAACGTAATGCTTGGGATTCCGAGTGCCATAGCAAGGACATAAACGTAGATTGGTTCCCGTGTACACACTTACCAAACAGTTCATGATTTCCACACCATTTGGATTCACAGTTAATGCTTCATCATACAACTGCTTAGCCTCTTCCAAGCTGCTGTTCATCTCTGCGAGCCTCCCCCGCATGTACAGCACAGCATGAGATGTGGGAAAGAGACTGGCTGCCTCCTGGATACAAAAGCTTGCTTCTTTGAGATGCTGTTGTTCCATGAAGACTTCAGCTACAGAACCCAAAACAAAGCATGGATATATTCTCAGCTTTATTCTGGAGACCATAAAATATTCAATATATTAATAACTTAAAAATAATCGCCACAGGAAAAATAATTTGCTTACGACACATGGATTTCCAAAAGTGCTAGATATGTATGGAACAGAGAATCCAAGGGACCTTGGAGATCTTATAGTCCAGGCCCAAGTCCGGAGACCTTATACCATCTTGGTCAAATGGTTGTCCAGTCTATTTTTTAAAATCTCCAGTGACAGAGTACCCACTACTCCAGAAGGCAAGTTATTCAATTGATTGTTCTCACTGTCAGAATTTTTTCCCTTTATTTCTAGATTGAATTATTGGTTGCACAGTAGCCAGATGTTAAAGAATGGATTTGACATTTTTGTCCACTTACTGAATATTTCTCAAGGGAGTTTCCCAAAGATAGGATGATGATGATGATGATTGTTTTTTCTGACCATAAAATGAATTTTTCATTTGGTCTACTTAAATCAGGCCTGCAGAACATGTAGCCTGCCACCAGATTTGTCTGGCTTAGTCACTTTTTGAAAACTCATTGAATTTGCTGCTGCCAAATGTTGATACTGCCAGGAAGATCCACAGTCTCAGCCTAGTTTTCCACAGCCAACTCTCTCCAAATACATGCTCTCAAGCACTTCCAGGGCTCACTGACATCATTGCTGCTGCACCCCCAGCCACTAAACAGTTGGGTCATACCAGCTTTGTGGCTCACAATTATTTTTAAGATATTAATATGACCTGTTCCCCTCTATTTGTGCCCGCCTGACTTGAATCAACAAAAAGATAGATGACAGCTGGATTTTAAAGAAAAGTAGCTTTTAAAAAATCTTTCTCATTTCTCACTATTTGGTAGAATACAGTCCTTTCTTTGGTTTTTCTCTGCCCTTACAACAAATATGTGGATTCATTTAGAGCTTTCTCCTTTGTTATCACTCTGTGGAGAAGAAGACTGTAATTCTTTTGGTGAACATATGAAGCTATTTAATACCAGGAACATTGCCTGCTCTGAAACTAGGTTTCTAATGGGGGGAGGTGTTTTTTTTATCAGTTTAACAAAAAGCACCTCACCCTATCAATATTTCTAATGAAAGAGAAAATATACAAGATCCAGGCCTCTTACAGGATATATGTGGCCCATCCAAAGAACTGCTACACTCGCCAGATCCAAAAATACCTGTGTTCTCCTGGCAATTATTTTTGAAATCTTCCTTTGTTATTAGAGAAACGATAGCAGTATTTGCATACAAATAAAGCTGGCCATTGCTGATAAGAGAGAATCAGTGAATTTATTTTTTTATATTTATATCCTTTTTAGCTGAACCTAGGGTACTTTACATAGATTGGGAAGGGGAGGGGAGGAGAGGAAAAGTGAGTGATATAGTACAATATTGTGATGCAAACACTGTCCCTTACATAATTGTATGTGATGTCATGACACAAATGTGGAAAGGCACAGTTTGTGTTTAAATATCACAATGCACATTTCATGATTTTAGTGTCACTATGGTTATGAATGAACCCTATAACAACTGTAGGGATCTTCTTCATATTAACTCTAAAACAATCTTGTGAGGTAGGCTGAGAAAGAGTGTTTAACATAAAGTCATCAGCAACTTTCAACAACTGAGGCTAACCTTGATTCTGGTTCTCTCTTTGATCCTAAATGCAACATTTCAAATATTAAATTATGTAGATTCTCTAAATCTTTTCTCCATAGAAGGACAAATTCACAATAACCTGCAACACCAAAACCAGAGATAGCTAAAAAATGCCTTAAAGAAAGAAGGACTCATATTAGATAATATATTAAATAAATATGACAATATCCCAAGAAAAACAAATCAAATCTAGGGCTCCAAACATGAACTTGATGGATATTAATGAAGCCTGGACTCTCCATGGGCAACTCAGTGTTCCTAACTCTTTTGATTTTATCTCTGCGATACTTCAGGAGCCTTTTGTATTTATGAACCACTAGCAAGCAGACAGCAAGAGGGAAGTTTATTTGTGTGTCTCTAAGGTTTCCTAACGTTGCTTTTTCCTGACCTCAGCTCAAAGGAAATTACTTAGGAAATCTGTGGAATTCAAATATTTTGTTTCTGGGAAAGGTGAAGAAGAACATGGTGGTCTAGTTGAGTGTTCCTGCATTTTCTGGCAAATGGGAAATTGTTATGCAATGGTTTCCTTCATGTACTGTAGGCAATGTTTAGAAACCTGCTTGGGAAATTTCTATTTGACATTATTTATGGTGCTTCATAGGATTTATCTTATTGTCATGCTGTTTAACATTTACATAAAACTTTGAAATGGTATGTCACTATTGTAACTGATACTCTATCACCTCTATTATTTTTTTTACTATGCAACTGCTAGGAAACAATTGGTATCCTTGAATATTGCTTAAGTTAACAAGGGGAGAGTAAAATGAAAAAGCTGCAATTAAATCAAAACCTGGCAGAAATGTGTAGATAAGAAATGGGAATTGGGAATCAAAGTTCAACTTGTTTTGAAAGAAGTTGCATTGTCCCTGACCTATCAGGTCTGCAGTCCCAAAGTGCTCCTTGTTCCTTAACTGCCACTGCTTTTAGAGATAATGGCAAGAAGTACTTTCATACAATTAAGGCTAGTGAGCCAGCTGGTCAGTTTTGGTTGCAATGATCTATGCCTAAATATAATTACATCTCATCTTGACTATTGCATTATATTCTATGTGGCTATCTTTGAAAACTACTTGAAGATTGCACACAACATATTTGACAATTAGGCAAATGTTAAGCAATGCGAAGTGCAGAAACTACATGATGCCTGCACTGAAACAGCATACGTTGTATTGGCATTTAAAACTCCAAATGGCTATAGGCTTATCTGTTACGATTTTGTCCTGTTAAGAACTATGTGGTTATTAACATCTGCATCCTTATGAAGATTTCCCAATTACATAGATTTTTTTTTTCATATTGTTCCCAGGCTATGGAATATATTGTACTTTGGCCCCTACTCTCTCTCAGCATTTAGAAAATCTATGAAGTCAGAGTTCTTTCACTAGGATGGCAATTGTTAAATTATGTTAGCATTCCTTTTGTATTTCAATACTGAATTTGTGTTAAGTTAGTCGCCATGAGTTCTCATCTGAGCAAAAAATAGGATATTTATTAAGTAGATAAAGTATATCTTATAGATTTATAGATATACTATAAAAATATAGACAATCTCTAGACCAGGGATGTCAAACTCAATTTCATTGAGGGCCGCATCAGCATTGCGGTTGCCCTTGGGGGACCGGATGGGTGTGGCCAGGGTAGGTGCAGCCTACTGGGTGGGTGTGGGTGGAATGGGTGTGGCCTACTGGGTGGGCATGGCCAACTCTACATTGTTCACATCAAGGGTGCCTGTGGGGGTCTGGGCAGGAGTGGGACAGATCTGAGGGTCTCTGGCAGAAGGGGGTGGGACCGAGGCAAGCGCCAAGGCATGGTGCATTTCTTCATTCCTCACAAAGGGTGACATCTCCCCAGCATGCACTCAGGGGGCATGGCCGACGCAGCAGAGGCTGGTTCCTCGCTGTTTCCAGACAGTCTTGTGGAGCTAAGACTGAATGTGTTTCAGCATAGATGGCCACCACAAAATTGTACATTGGCTCCCGGCCGGCCTGGGCCAGGGCCAAGGCAGCGGGGACCATTCCCTTACTGTTTCCAGGATGGCTTCGCAGGCCACATGAAACCACTTCGCAGGCCGCATTCGGCCCCCGGGCATGTGTTTGACATGTCTGCTCTAGACCATTAGATAATTCTTTACATCAGAAGTGAACTCAAAGGCTTAAAATCTTCACTTCAGGAATCAGGGAAGGGGGGGGGATTTCAGGGGCTTTAAAGCAGAAATGAGTATCCTAACCATCTGTCAGACTTAAAGTATCCAGTTTGACCCACAACACCAATCTCAAACTCCTCTCAATTCAAAGAATTTTGGCTCCACCTACTTTGGGGACCACAAAACTGATGGTCACTTGCAGTTCTGAGTCCTCTTGTTTTATATTTCTTTTTTAAACTGTTGCAAAATCTCAGCTCTAAATTCCCATTTTGTATTGTTGGGTGGATCTAATTGACACTGATATGCATATCCCTAGACAGAGGTAGTCATCATAATGAATTTTGGCAACATCAGAAGTATCATTCTTTGCTTCTAAGATTTAAATAGCTCATTATAGTGGAGATCAATACACAACCTTGGAATCTCAATTCCTTCATGTTTGATGCTAACAATTTCAGAGAATCAGAGCCATTCCATCTTATTTGATGAGAATAAATGGAATGGCTGAAAACTGTCCTATTTGACTCCTTCTATCATCTGTTTGCAGTCAATCCAACTGCCTGAATAGAGAGAAATTATGTAGGACTGCACCATTTAGCTCTATTTTGAGACCAGCTTCCTTTGGCCCCATTATAAGTATTTTATATATTGATGAAAAATTCTTCTTTCTTTTATGTTCTTTTTCTTTTCTTTTAAATTGTACAATTTATCAGTTTTTAAATTGCCTCTATTGTTTTGCTGCAAAAAATAATAATAACAACATAAATACCTCTCTGGAAACTATTGTTCTGATGGAAACCATTCTGGGAACCTTTCCAGAATAATAAGATAGAAATTCTTTAAAACAATCTTGTTTAGCTTAAGTTTAAAAATGTTTTGCATAACTGAATGTTTCATAAAGGAACATTAGAAAAAAACAGGTCATTTTATTTTAAAACTATTAGCAACCCCCCACCCCCCAGATGTATTTACTATATATATATAGTAGGTTGTTTTTAATATTGTAAATAGTTATTTTTATTGTTTTAGTTTTTTTATTGTTTTAGTTTTTTTAACAATATACAGCTGGTTTATATCCTTCCCAGAGTTTGAGGATTTTCTATCATTGTGTATGTATGTATATATGTATGTATGTATGTATATATACTAGAAATACTGGGCAAG